AAGTCAATAAACTATCTTTGAAATGTGAAGTAAATACTTTTTAGAATATATCATTTTAATTTTAAGAAACAAAAAAATAATTTTACTACACATATATTTTTCTTCAACAAATCAAAATTACTGTTTATAAAGCTGATTTTTTTCTCTTATAAAATAGTTAATTATAAGCAAAATTTTCCAATTACTATTGGATTTATAAAGTAATGTAGTTATTACTCAGTGTATAAATAGTTGAGGTTGTCTAGGCAAAAGAGCAGAGAAGCAAACAAGGGTCAATCAAAACCACCGATCGGAGAAGATGGGTTGCTTCAGTTGCTTCGCCAGAAACCAAAAGCAACAACGTGAGGAAGAAGACTTAGAAGAGAGAAAAGCTGCCGCCGAAATCCGTCTCAACGTCCTTGAAGCTGCCATGCGACGGTTTTTTCTCTTGCTCTGCTCTTTCTTTTTACGATCTCTAATTGCATCTATTTAAAACGATCATTTAGGGTTTAGAAAACTTCAATTCATACAGCAATAATTTTACTGAGAAATTTAAAAAAATGTCACTTTTCAAGTGCCACTTTACGAAAATACCACATTTTTTAAATTTTTACAAAAATACCATTTTTCAAAATTATTTTTTCTTTATATTATTTATGTTTGAGTTAACTATGTTCTATTAGGATTTAGTTACGAGGGTTTAGGGGGTTTAGGGGTCAAAACATTTTTTTAGTGTTTAGAATGTTAAGATATAAGATTTAAAAATCTATAATTAGTGGCATTTTTGCAAATGAACACCCCTAAATGACATTTTTGCAAATATACATATAAAAAATAGTATTTTTGCAATTTCTCTAATTTTATTTGTTTCTAAAATTATATGGATTTATTTTTGTACTTGAAACGCAGGGAAGATGAGTTTGAAAAATCTGCAGCTGGAAGAGCTGCACAAGTTCAAAGACAGCGTATGGCTAAACAAAAAGCTATTAATAAAAATGTATAATTAGTATTTGATAAAATTGGGTTTATAAAGTAACATAGATTTCTACCGGTAGCAGGTGGTATTAAAATTGAGTTGTGGTAAATGTTGTAATTCGATGTAATTTGTATTAAAAAAAATATGTGGCAGAAATTTCAGATTTATGTGGTAAGTCTGCTGTAAAATATGAGTTAACATTCTTGTTAATACAATTAATTAATAACGTTTGTGATGTATAAGTTGTCGTATGTTTAATATTTTTTTTTTGTCGAAGTCGTATGTGTTACTAAAATTGAATTTAATAATAATAAATATTTAGTACATACTTAACTTAAAGATAATAAATTATGAATAGTGCTTTTATAAGTATATATATATAATTTAAATTTATTTAGAAAGCATAAAATAAAATCAACAATCAGGATAATGCACAACTTTGTTTGATTCATTCAAAGAGGGAAAAAAAACTAGAAAGTTTACAAAAAAAACTGTGACTAATAATCAAAGAATAACTGGAATAGTAGAATGATTTAAATAGAATGACAAATAAAAAAAATAGTTGGAATTCAACCTTT